GGACTCATCATTGTTTGTGATGCATCCCACCACCGCTGTATCATCTGTTAACTTTACAATATGACAGCCTGGATAGGTAGGTGTGCAGTCATATGTGAGCAGACTGAACAGGAGGGGGCTCAGCACACAGCCCTGAGGAGCCAGTGCTGAGGGTTATGGTGAAGGAGGAGAAGTTGTGGATCCTGTGGTTTGTTTGTTAAGAAGTCCAGGACCCAACTGCATAGGGAGGGGCTTAGTCCTAGTGTGAGTAGTTTGTCTATCAGGATCTGGGGGGATCGTGGTGTTTCATGTTTCAACCAGTATGCTGGACCAACCCAACATGGATGAGTTAAAACTACCCAGAGTTGGTTCGGTCCAAGTTTGTCCCTAGTTCTGGGTTTCAAATTAAGTTGATTTTATCCAGCAGCTTTTGTGTTTTTAGTGTCCAGAATCTACACCAGTGCAACACCCGGTTAGTCCTCCAGGGAATTCTTCGTTTGCTGGACGAACCAAATATAGTCCAAGAAGTCCTTTGCAACAGATATTGTGCATATTGATATTCCACTGACGACAGATGTGTGATGTATACACAAAACGTGTCTTATCAGGTCTCTCGTGTAAATGAGTCCCTGTGGCTCAGTGGGATTAACCTGTACAAATAAAGGTTGAATGTGAGCCTTGAAGGCTCAAGAACATTTGGGTTACTGTGCTGAGTTACCAAGAAATGATCCTGAAATAGACATCATGGTATACGTCTATTTACCTTGATGCAGAAAAAAGAATAAAACTAAATAAAAAATATAGATGCCGGAGGTCATTTATAGCATCAAAACTGTTGAGGACAAAGCCTGAAGCTGTACTGTTGGAGGCCTCTACAGGTTCATACACTCTTAGCAGTTTTACATAAAATACAATTATACCATTACATTTAGTTTGTTTTTATGGATTAAAGTCCTGATTTTCTATAAATAAAAAAATAAAATTTACTGTGTAGTGAAACTGTCGAGTGGATTATTGAACTGAAAGGTGACCAGCGCTGTGGAGAATGTGTTGTTGGACAGGCAGCGGGGAGTTCAATGGCCTGTGTGGCCTTTCCCTCGTTACTTTGCTGCATCTGCTGCTGGGAAATGGAGTTTAACTGAAAAATATTTGAAAGTTTCCTTTAATTTTTAGTCCAAGCAGCGTTTTAATTATCCATCAGAATAAAAGGATGGTTTTATTTCAACGTGATTAGATGTTACTGGACAGTTTCCCTTTTGTTTACAATAACAGCAAAGACTATATAGTAATTGATAGAACTACATATCCCAGGAGCGTCTTCGTTTTGTGCGCATGCTCAGTTAAGTTAATCCAAGGGGCGAGATTGTGAGTGCTGTGTTGAGGCTAGTGTGTGGCGGTGAAATTTAACAGTTATAAGTATGAATTGTTCCGTGTTATCGTAAAGTTTGGGTTTAGTATCGTTTGGACTTTGACCAGCGGCTCCGCAGGACGTTCGGCGACAGCACCGTTTCTGAAAGGCGTTTTTACGACGGTTAGTTTTGTCCGAGCAGGAGTAAAAGACACAACAGTTTATTTATTTATTTCACAGGCAGAATGCCGCGGGACAACAAAACTCCATTAATCCAGAAAGTAGCCACGCAGGCCCACGCTACGTTTAAAGGCTTAAAGTCTCCCTCCGGCGGGGACGGCAAAGCCTTCACGGACAGGCTGAATGAACTCATCTCCCTGGTGACCTCCGTCAGCGCCGCCGACCTGAAAGTTGCTCGCCGGAACAGCAAGCCGAGCTCCGGGGCGGCGGGGCTCCAGAGCCCCCCGGTCAGCTACATGCACATCTGCGAGACGGAGGCGTTCAGCATGGGGGTGTTTCTGCTGAGGAGGGGCGCCTCCATACCGCTGCACGACCACCCGGGCATGAACGGGATGCTGAAGGTCAGTTTGCTTCAGGTCGAACAGCCCAAACAATAAGAGCTCTTTGTTTCCGTGTAGCTCGTGCTTTGGTCGTTAAATTACCTGCTGTTTCAAAATAAAAGCCTGCAGGTGCGTCAGGCTCCACTGGAGAGGGAGGAAGAGTGACTTAAAACAGCTTGGTCCACGTTTAAAACAGCTTGGTCCAAGTTTAAAACGGCTTGGTCCAAGTTTAA